ATGGTTTTGGGTGCTCAAAAATGCAGTTGTTTGAGTCGATGTGTGAGACCTCGCATTGTCGTGGTGAGAGTGATCCGTCTTCGGCGGTTGGTTTTCCTGATTTCTTGGAAGACAACTGTGCAACCAACTTCGTTGTGTACCACTCAGAATCTAGTGGTACGGTTGCGACTTGTCCAGTTTTTCCGAAAAAACAAGCGACCATCTTTTGGAAGTGATTCGTGCGCAAACAACTTTTGTTGGGATTTTGCTCATCTTGAACAACCATACAGTCGACTGCTGTTTACTTTCGGACTCATACGCGTATACCTATGATTCATCACCTATCACGATGTCATAGACGTGTTTCGAAGGCTACCGCACGCGATCGTATGTTTGAGCATTTTTTCGACCAATCGACAAGAGCCTTTTTTTGAGCGTTTGACAAATTGTGTGTGGGATCCAACCGGAACAATTTTTTTGACAGTCAAATGTTCATGCAATATTGAATATGTATGCTGGTCCGACTAATGCCTAAGTTGTTCTCAATCTCACGATAGGTCACATGATCTTGCAATATCAGTTCACGTACAGCATCAATGGTTTTCGGAACAACAACTGATTTTGGACGACCTTCGCGAAATTCGTCTTGGAGTGAACTACGACCACGATTGAATTCACCATACATCGATAAACACTGGTCCTTGATGGAGCTTCATCGCCAAAAATTGAGATTAAGTTATCCTCTCTTCCTTTTAAGTAAATCTACGAACATGGGACAGCCGGCTTTACTTCCCCTCCGAAGGAAGGCGTGCGAAGGATTTTGTCGCCCTAAAAATCCACGGCTTCGATCGGGTTTGATCCAGCGAAAAACGTTTGGGTAAAACAGTACGGTACGCTAACCGTCACACCATCGCCGCCTCCACTTGCGACTGGGCTGATGGAGGGTCCGACGTTTCTTGCGTTCACCCATCTCAATGAGAATAGCATGATGGTCACTATGCGTGTATTGGTCGCACACAACCCAGGTTAGACCCGAGCGAGCAATGCACTCGCTCACGAATGTCAAATCGACTATGGAGCTATCGCCATTTCGGGAGAAGGTTGGAGAGTTCCCGGTATTTCCTAGGACAACGTCCAGTGAGGCTAGATGGTCTAGAAGGGCCTCTTCTCTTCGGTTCGTTACCCTGCTGCCCCACGCTGTAGCCCATGCGTTGAAATCGCCAGCGATGATAAGGGGTCTCCGTCCTCGTGCATCGGCCACCAGACTGTCCAGCACCGTTTCGAATTCGGATATTGAGAGACTAGGGGGGGGGCATATACACTGAAAATGTATATGCCATCTGCCTTAACCCAGGTAAAGCCGGTCGATTGTAAAGCCATGACCTCCCGGACCTGACGCAAACCGTAAGTCCATATCGCGGCTCGACTTGACCTGTCTGATAACCAAGTAGGGCCCTCCATGTTCGTGTACTGCTCGCAAAGAATCGCCACGTCGATCTTAAGGTCTCTCACCGTTTGTTGCAGCAGGTCCTGTGCTGCCTCACAGTGGTTGAGGTTCAACTGGAGTAACCTCATTTGTTCTGCCTGTTCGTCGTCTCGAGTGCCCTCTGATAAACCGGGCGCTTCGGGCCGCCAGAGGTGTGGGTTAATTCAAACTTCGCAGAGCATAACATGCAGTGCGGGTCCTTTTTACAGGTCTTCGCCACACTTGCGACAAAGCTTGGTTCGATCAGGCCCCTTGCAGGAACTGGCACGGTGACCGACGTCCCAGCATCGGTAGCATCTTAACGGCGTGGCCTTAATTCGGATATGGCTTATCACCCAGCCAATTCGAATTTTGCCGATGGTTGCAGCCCTCCTCGCCAGAACCGTTGGTAGGCAGACCACCGCCACCTGCGTACCTCTGAAGCTTTACCGTAGTGCTTTCACCGCTGTCAGATCAAGTTTTGTCTCCAGCTGCTCTTCCAGCGCGGCGCAGATCTCCTCCCTGGTTGCGAGCTCATCGAGGTCTCGCAGCTCCACAGTGGTTTCCTCCCTCAGTGTGGTAACTGTTGTGGCATCTCCCAGTTTGTCTGATGTGTGTGTGTGTGTGTGTGTGTGTGTGTGCGCGCGCGCGTGCGTGTGTGCGTGCGCGTGTGTAATTTTCTCAGAATTTCTTCTCATTGTAGAGTTATATTTCTGGCTGTATGGTTCGCTGTTCAGGAATGTCATTTGTTTAATGTATTAGCTTTCGAAGAATTAGTTTATGCTTCTAATGTGCTATGATTGGAAATATATTTAACAAGTGAGGGCTAAGATGTGTTAATAGGGACAAAAACTGCAGTATTGTAGTTTATGTAACTATTGCTAATGCGAGAACATACATACAGTTACAGCACTACTTGTCCTGTTATATTTAGATTTTCACTAGACAAAGTTGCTACAACTAGCCATGATACATTGTGAATGATATGAACTCACTGAAATAGATTTCTCGAGATATAATTTTCTTGTATTCCAAGAGGAAACCAATCATGATAGTTTAATCTACTCGTAGGGGATAATTCTGGGTTGACAAAAAACTTCATTTGTACAAAATGTCGTTAATTTAAACTAAATATAATATTCATAATTGCCACAGAATATTTCATTCTATTTTTATTTTAATTAGAAAAGTAATAGCTATCAGTGAATTAGATAACAGAAATGATTGAAATATAATTTAATATTTCAACATTTCTTCTCCAATTGCAAAATTTGTCCGATTTCTGTTTTATACTTTGAAGCAAATATTTTGAATTCATTTTAAAAATGTTAAATTCCTGCTACAACATAACTGGTTTATTATTGTTATTGTTATTATCGTTATCGTTATTATTATTATTATTATTATTATTATTATTATTATTATTATTATTATTATTTAATTTTCATTTTTTTTAAATTCAAGGTTGCATCAACTACTAGGTCATTAGCAACCACTATTGCACGTAACAGTATGGGAACTCTGAGGATGACACATTATGATGATGATGATGATGATGATGATGATGATGATGATGATAGGGATGTGAAAGGACGAACACAACACAACCATGCCCAAGGCGGGACTCGAACCCGCGATTCTTCGGTCCGAGATCGATACAGCGCTACTGCCTTAGAGATCTCGGCCATCCGTATCGGCACTACTGATTTCTTGGGCAGTTTATCATTATTAATTTGCTCACTTATCATCTTACCTGAGATTTGTCATATTTAAGTCTTTTCCACAGGAAAGGCCTTTTATCTGATGGGGCACCTCCAGGCCCAACATCAGAACTTGAGGCATTGTAATTAGGATTTGAAAATGTCAAGACGCTTCGCCCTGTTGCATACAAATATTTTTTCTGTCTTTTTCTGCGATGGTATAGAAGAACAGGAATCATGGTCATTGTGGCAATGATGAGAAGACTCAGAAGAACTCCCGTGATAATGATAATATGTGATGGAATGCCGACACCATCAGATTTACTGTTTTTACTCTTGTAATCATCTGTAGGCATATCTACTATTTCCACTGTATGAGTAGCGCCACCCATATCTGGTGGCGTTACAGGTGGTAAAAATTCTGTATCATTATCATAATCAATTGCATTTGTATTAGGAACTCTGACACTTGGTTCTGAAAAAAGAAACACACATTGTGTACAGTGTATTTGATAGGCTTTGATCAATACATTTGATACATAAAATGCTTCATAGGAAATATAATTATTATTTGCCTGAAAACAAATCATTTGATGATACAATAAATTGATAACTGATGAAGTTATCACTCAAATTCTTTCCTTAAAAATAATGATAAAGCATGCCTTACAATGAAGTTACAAAAAGAAGTTAGTAAAAATAGAACAAAAGTTCCCAATTCCACCATTGTCTGGATTAGTCTGAAGTATTTTACAGTTGAAAGTATTAACGTCTAACTTGTATTTACCAATGGAACACTGCCTTTCATCAGGAATATCAGGGCAGGCACAAACATATCCTTTGGGCCTGTAGAAGCATAGATGAGAGCATCCTCCATTGTTAACTGCACAAGGAGTCCATCCCATTTGTCTACCTTCCGCAACAGCTCGAATCTCCATTACACCATCTAAATCAGTACGAATAACAATGCGATCCTTTCCAGTTCTTTTGTCAGCTCGTTCTACTGATTTTTTGTACCAGTCTGTCCAGTATATATGATCTCCATACTGCAAATATAAAAGGTTTTAATGATTGATAAATAAAATTCATGATACAGGTCATTATTTTGGATGGAAGCTCTGCTAATATGCAAACAATTTCATTAATTTTCATAATCAGTAATAAATTTCTATAATTTTTGGATTTCTCAAAATTATTTATTTTTGTTGTTGGATTTTTCTTTCTTCATATTATTTTACAAGTATTATTTCATTGGTTTTTTTTTTATTCAATATTTTCTTATATAACTCCTTTTTTGAATCTTTTACTAAAACCTTAAAATATTAACTAATTAATTTGTTTTAAACACATAAATAAATTGAGTTATTACATGTAAATTCTTATAATATTAATGGAAATAATTTTTAGACAATTTTTTATTGAATGTGTAAGATAACAATGAAAAGATTCAAAACTGAGATGTTTATGTTGTATATTCTAGAATCCATTTAAATCAGTCAGCAATGATGCACTGACTCGTGCATCATCCATGATAGCATGTGCACGACTTGTGATCAAATATTTTTTTGCCTTTGTGTACTTCCTTCACTCACAACTTGCCCAAATCTTATTGTTAATTGCAATCTTATTGTCAGTCAGCATCACCCACTAATTTCTATCTTAAATATCATTCATTTTAATTTACAACACATGTTAAAAAAAAAAATACAAATTGTTTTTACTGTGCTATAATTTATTCTCACTTCTTTTGGATTTCCAAGGGAGAAGGTATGGTCACAAGTGTTATGTAATTATTAGGGAGAGGGGTTACTCGTGCATTATGGATGCATTACAAGAAGGTGAGCGGGTATTCAAAATACTCGAAATTTGCTGTATGTTGATAATCATGGGTTACATATATATGAACTGCTCACTTTTCTATTTTTTAAACAAATACTTTGGAAAATATGTTGTTATTCTTCACAAGTGTACATTCTTTTATACATTTTCATGTAATGTTTATTTTAGATATTCTATAATTTTGAAGACATTTATAAACATTTTTCAGACTTCAAAAACTAGATCCTGATGAAAAGGATTTTTAAAATGACAATTTTATCACTGATTACTATCTCCTTAATTCATTTTTTATTCTGCCCACTACAAATTCACTATGATGTGACCAGAATATGAATCCTGGTACTCAGATGAGCATAAGTACACTATAAAATACTCCTTGTGTTATCTGCCAGAATGCCAAAGAAAACTCACACACCTGTGTTAATCCAAAAGGATGGGTAGCTTCAGGCACTAACTGAACCCTGTTCAGCCCATATAAATCAGAAGTTTCTATGCGATCACGAAGAGCATCAACCCAATAAAGCCTCCGTGCCTCATAGTCCAAAGCTAAGCCGTTGGGAAAACCTAGATCAGTGCTTATAACTACAGTACGAGATGTACCGTCTAACATGGACCGTTCAATCTTGGGATTATCACCCCAATCTGTCCAATACAGGAATCTGCAATGGATTCAGAAAAGCATTGAATATAAAAATGTAGTAACATTAATAACTATAATGTTATATATGCAAATCATATAAGAACAATGTAAATGAATTATGTAATTAAGTGATAACATTTTCTGATTGAATACCCTTTTCTAGGAAAAATTGCAAGAGCCCGTGGTTCATCTAGTCCTTCCCATATTACAGTTTTTCTACTTGTTCCGTCAAGTCTTGCTACTTCTAGAACTTTTCGACCAGCATCTGTCCAATAAATATTATCTGCTATCCAATCTACTGCTAATCCATCAGGGGTAGTGAGATTCGATGAAACAATCACTTCTGTATGTGACAAATTGTGCATATCCACACTCCTAGAAGGAAAGAAAAATATGTAATGAATTTTAAACTCTAATTTTATCATTGTAATTGTTTGAGTTAAAAAAATAGAAAAATTACATACCTGATAATATCTAAATGCACATCAGTGTAATACACCTTTTGCCTTCCCCAATGGAAATCCACAGCTATAGCATTATGCACTTCTGGAATTGGTAAAGTGACATCCCAAAGTTCTGGTGTATCCAAAGAAACACGGGCAAGGGTGCTACGAGTGGCAAATAGCAAGTATTTCGATGGAGGCGTGCTGCACGTGCGGTCATCCTCGCGTAGCAAAGTGCCCGTGGGACAAGCACACGAGAAGCCATCTGGTCGGCGCAGGCAGAGGTGAGAGCATCCTCCGTTGTTGGGTCCGCAAGCATTTTCCATGAAGTTGTCAACCTGCATTTGGTGGGGCAGGCAGAGACAGACAGACAAACAGCTGTTTTCACACAAGACACGACACTGAGCATAAGCAAACATAATAAAATCTTAACATGCAGATATCAGGCAAGAAACTTGAGGAAAGAAATAGAAAATAAAATTGTTGTCTAGGTTTCTAAAGTTGGAATCTATTGGCTCTTGGCTGTCCAAGACTAGCTGTCTGCATCATTATGGATGATGTTAGATGTCAGTCAAGGCTCATCCCAGACAGCCAACAGAAAATATAATGAATCAAACAGAACAGAAATGCTGAGCAACTAATTAACATTCACAAAATTTGACAAAACATATTTCTCTAATTTCAAGCAAAACAAATGAGTACAAAACTATGTATGTACATTGTAATTAACACACAAAATTTGTTTAACACCTACAACGAATAATACAACAGCAGTCTGTAGCAAAAATGGTGGTCACATATGGGAAGTTTTATGCAAAATATTCAGTTATAAAAAATATTTTATTAAATCTTCATTTGAAATTCTGTTTTAATTTATTATATCAGGACTTTTTGTATTGATTTCAATCAATTTATTATACAGTATTGAGGTAAATTATTTGTAGCATAGAATCTTCTTTCATCATTAGTCATTGCAAAATTATCTGGGAAAATTTGTAATATTCATTAAAAATGTAATCATATTGAACAATATTACTTACATAATTACTTAACTCTAAAAAGCCAGTAAGCAATATTATTCTTTTGTATTTTATGAAATTAGTGATAGTAAATGATATGAAATTATATAGTATATGTAATTTTAGAAACAACAAAAACTTTAGTAAAGTAACTTCATTTTAACCAACTCTGTTTATAAGTAGTTATAGCTAATTTAAGTTGAATACTTGTGGATACAAAGATTACTCGTAATAATTTATAATCTTCTAGCTAAGCAGATCATATTGAAGATAGTAAAAATGACATAACAACATTCTACTCCTTGAATATAACATTATGTAAAGATCACAAGAATCTATTCTAAATGCCTAAGAAAGAGGTCTTGGATCATTTTCTGAATTAGTGATTGAAGAAATCTTTCACTTCAAATTGTAATGAGATTTCATGCAGATATGCAGAAATGTAGCTTACAGCAATGTAGGAAGGCCATATGACATAATTTAATAATAAATAAATATAAAAATTGAGTGAGAACCTGACCTGTCAACTTCAGTGCAGACCAACCATCATTTCAGTGAATCACCAACTAAAGTTTAAATCAAGACTCTTCTTCTGATGTTACAACAAGCATATACAAGCTAAACGATTTTAGAAGAATATTTAAATTGTTGCAAGATGTGAATACACCCTGGCTAGGAACATATTATGCTTTAGAAAGATAGGAAAAAATCAACATCCAGCTTTAAGAAATACAAAAACTTGCTTATTTATTTCATGTAGAATGTTTATGCAATTTGAGAATACAAAATTCACAATACGAGACATTTAAGTAAAGAAAGAAGTTGTTGAAGTTGACTGTTCTATTTTTGGATCAGTGAACTTGAAAGTGTCAACAATTTGAATTTATGGACAATTCAAAATATTCTTGAAGCCTCAAAGATAATTCATAATTCAACATCTTACTTGATCATAATCTATTCATAATCCAACATCTGACTTGATCTATTTTACTAGTTTTTTTAAAGAATTCTTTCTGTATCAAATTGTATGAAATATTGCAAATACTTTGTGAACGATTTTATCTATTTTTAATTTTTAACCTCCTTATGCATTAACAGTATCAGATATTACTAAGTAGTCCCAATATCAGTTTTGAAAGATGTAAATGTATCTGAGACACCACAGCTTTCTGGATAGGTGACTGCCTGGGAATCCTGGTTACAAACGGCACTGAGCCTCTGGCTAAAGGGATAAAAGGCATTGACGGTGACATTACAAGATAAAAGACAAAAAGTTAATGCAGGATTACTCCAGATGTATATATCTCAATGCAAAAATTGGGCTAAGAGAAGACACAATACAACAAAATAATTTTAAAAAATTGAATGAAAAAGAATGAAATGATTGATTAAAATGAAATTGCTTTTTTATTCTGCATTCTGCAAATTATTTGCTTTCCGAATTATTCTGCAGACAAATCTTCAAATTGAAGAGAACTATTCTTAATATAATAATATTTCAAAAATCTACACTGAAAGCCTATTAGACAACCATTAAAAATTACTAATAAATATATAAGAAAGTATATTCTAATTTCAAATCATATTTAGAATTGTAATAAGCCTGTCAGCTCTGATAGCAAGTGAATGTGGAAAAAATAGAAAAAATCATAAAAAAGTATTTGATCAATGTATGTTTTGAAATAGTAATGGACATAAAAATATCACTGTCCGTGACATAGCGATTTTTATCTGATTAAAAAGATTTGGGGCTGAAGCAAAAACATTGTTACTTAGAAATGTGTTCTCATATTTTTAATTCTGCAAATTCATCTGAGACCCACATCAGAGTATGGATGTCAATTATTTACATCCTGTTTTAGGTTATTCTGATGTTTTTTCTTTGGTATAATTTGGCTGTTACAACCACTCAAAGTAAAGGAACATTAATATCAGTACAATCCTTTGTTTACAATACAAAAATTGTTTCTTTGTTACAGGAGCAATAGTATAATTTATTTTTAAATACTAATATAACAAAACAAACACAACTTTACATATTGTAAGCAATTTATTTTGATTTACTGACATAAGTGTATAACTAAACTGTAAATACAAAGAAAACAAAACACTAAAAGACTTACCGGACCTTTGTATCCAATTTAACCAGAAAAAAAAATTTCAGAAAAAAAGTGTTCCTTTGAATGCTAATTTCTTTAATTTGTTATAATTGAAACAAAATATTAATAGGATAAAAAAAAATATTGTGAAATAAAACAAAATGGTTTCCATTTACAAAACATTAAGTACTCTATTCATTACCCACATCATAATCTGAATGCATATTTCGTGATCAGTAGGAAGAACATTGCAAGGTAATATGTAGAATGGTGTAGAATACATGTGACAAACTTCTAAGGCATGCAGAGGGGAGAGCAGATTATGACTTTTTGTCATGAAGGTGCGGTGAATTATCTAATAATGATGTTACACATTTTTCCATTTTTCATGGATTCCTGATTAGAATCCTTGCTAGGCAACCCACCTAAACTGATTTTTGGGAGTTACACAAATTGTCACAGGATCACCTACCCATGAGCAATGACAATATCGAGTATTTTCAAAAATAATTTTTGTTCAGCTATGACTGTGTCAGAACGTGAAGTGCTGTTACCATGCATCATTCAAATTTCATGACTGTCAAATGGAGAATTTTTTGTAGTCCTCACAGGGTTAGTGTACCTGCCAAACATTAGTACAGGATGATTTGCCTTCCAGCATTGGGCGTCATGTATTCTGTGAAAATTATTTTTTATGAGATCTCCCACCATATGTTTATTAGTGCAAAGTGATCAAGTAATCATCATCAAGTTGGTAAAATTTATTCTGAACCATCCTGTAGATAGTTTTGTCAATCTAGTCAAGTGAGTTTTTTTAAACTCTTTGATGCCAAACCACATTGGAGCATAGTGACACATAGAAATTAATAAAAGAAACGTTTGCATTAATTTCAAAGCATTGGCTAACTTGTTCTTGAGCTATTTTACTCCCTATTATTTTTGTTGTTCATCCAACTGGAGATTGTTCACATGGTAGCAATGTTTTGGAAGCTAGAGCGCAAGAAAAGTCCACTTTAAAACTTCAACCTCCATTTTTAAGAAATATATTATTTATATAAGACTTATACATTAAAAATATTATGTGAAGAAATATTATTTATATTATTTACAGGAAATGAAAATGGCCATCTTATTGCTATTGGAGGAGACTTCATGAGATCAGAAGGAGATACAAAAAAAATATGGTGCATGTTCAAAGATATTATAGACGAAGCTTTGCAAAAGTTTTGTAATGTGCAAAATTCTAAAATATAATCTGGATCCAGAATACTACAATTTAAAAATTAGGTGAATGAAGAGGATAATGAGAAAGTCATTTCAACACAAAAAACACAGTATGTAACATACTTTTTAGAAATCGAACAAGAGAATTGAAAAAGTGTTTAGAAGTTGAAAATTCAAAAATCACATGCAGATACTCCCGGTTTATCTGTATTGATTGCATTTCTGAGTAGAAGCACTTCAATACATTTATCAACAACACATCAAATTAAAATCCCTATGCAGGATTTGAACTCGATCCTTAACCACCTTGACCATCTGGGTCAGACATGGGTTGTACACTTCTATAAAAGTCAAGACGTGAGTAATTCAGTTCTAGCATTTGGGAGTCGAAAAGTTGAGAAAATGTGAAAAAATGTCCTTTGGGGTGCAAAAGAAGGCAGCTTGGTGAGAGAATAAGGCCTAACCGAAAAGCTAGTCCAGACGAAAGAGATTAGAAAACTAACATGAGAAAGTGTATGCCATTCTATATCACTAATTCTTTATTTATTTACCAAACAATATTACATACTAGGAGAAACTTCAATTAAAAAAATGTGTGTGGGTTTTGACAAGTTTTTTTTTAATTGCATAAATTTCAGACATTAATTAAGCGAAATCAGCTTGTTTTTTCAAGACTAAAGAGATTAGAAAACTAACTAGTGCGAGAAAATATGTGCCATTTTATATCAGCAATAGTTTTTTATTTACCATGCATTGTTACATACGAGGAGAATCTTTGACGAAAATATTTCACGTGGGTTTTGAGAAAATAAATGTAATTTTTTATTGCATAAATTAAATTAAAGAAGGAAAATAACCTGTCTTTTTTTTTTTTTAAATGTACGCAACCTCTTTTAAAGAGCTGACAACATACACATTAAAGCAACAATTGCTATTTCCAATTTTCTAGTTTTGAAATGTTAACTTTTTTGACATTTTCGAAAACACACGGAATAACATGCTCCAAATGGAACTAGCACCATGTTTTTTACCGTCCCTTACTACATACGAGGAGAAAATTGAAAAAGGAGCAGATTTGTTTGTGTGTGTGTGTGTGTGTGTGTGTGTGGGGGGGGGGAATACCTTATTTCGCGCAAAATTACACGGAAAGTACTCTAATTTTCGAAAAATTGAACATGAACTTATTTAAAGCTCCGTCTTTCAAGAACAGATTTCATTAAACAATATATCCGTTTTGAAACTCTCAAAGACACGAGTTCATTCCGATCGGTTGGGGAATATCAATATCAGCAAAATCGGATAAACGGTTTAGGAGCTAGCGTTGACCACAGACGTTTGGCCGGCAATAATCTTTTCGGTATTACGGACCCACGAAACATGGATTCTGGCTACACCACGTGTTAGATATTTTATGTAATTAGCAACAGAAATATCTCCTCTTTTACGTCACGAGGGCCCGGCAATAAGAGCCGTTTTTCGGCGGTCGATCACAAACCTTTCTCTTCTTATGGTGAACTTCATAAGGCGAGAAAGTAAAACTTTTCATCAATACAGTGGTTGATTAAATCGGTCATTCATTCATTAATTCTGGGCATAGCAACTCCCAAAGCCATCAGTCTCCTATGCCTACTGCATGTCAACGGGAGGCTGCGGAGATCTTGCCCATCTTGGCTTCTGGATGGCGTATGTGGGGCCAACCTACCCGGCGGCTTGCGCGGTTCCCCCAACCAGGTATCTCCCACCAGCGGGACACTCCTCTGCCTGGTCAAGCTCTTTCACTGTCTCCCAGCATGTGGTAACATGTGTAGTGCATGTAAGTGTAAGCGTGTGTTGTGGTGAGGGTAAGACAAGGAAATATTAAGAAAAAGAAAAGAATCGACGTGTACGATCTGTGGCCCATCTGGCATGGTAACTGCTCCGGCATTCACCTGGTGTTGACTGAAGAAAACTACCGATCACAGCAGACACTGCAATTCTCTCCAGGCAGAGGCTGAATTCAACCTAGCTATGCACTATGCAGCTAGGGTTGGAAATCCTGCCACCTAGGACCTCCCAGACAGAGGCACTGTGACATCAACTGAGGCCCTGAGCCACCTACACCAATGTTATACTTACACATTTAATAATTTTTCTCCTTTTTGAATTCCTTTATTAAATTTTTAAAAAAATGTAAGAGCACTTAATTTCCAAGTTTCACATTTCTTCTTAAGACTGTCCATGAATAAAGCGACATCTAAATGAAGTAAGTAAAGAAAAAGAAGTGCTGGAATGAATATACTGAAAAACGGCAATATGCCTTTTATAAATGAGATTTATCTATTGTTATTTTACCTTTTAAGGATTCTAGTCTTTACACCACCTTTTCTCCAAAGATATAATAGAGGGATCTAAAGGATCATATTTTGTAAATCATAGAGCATGCAAAACATTGCGACATTACTTGAGGGGCAATGAAGCATGAACATTTCAATGCCCTACAACGCATCATTTCCGAGTTATGCACAATGGTAAAGTGTGTTGCTGGGTAATGTGTATTGAAGGTTACATGTAGGTGTTTTGTGTGTTCACATTATAACTTTAATAGTAATTAATTACTAAATTGGGTGGTCTGCAAAAACATTTTCAGTAATCATTGAGTGTAGTTCTTACAAATACATTTCAAACAATACCACACTTTTCATAAATGACTCAATGTAATTATTCAAGAAAATGTTTCAACCAAATGGAAGTAAGAAGATCAAAAAATATTAATTGGATCTCAAAACAACTGCAGGTTCAGTTAAACAGTTTTAAAAAGAAAAATAAATAATCTTATTGCAAATTGCTCCACACTACATTACACCCAGGTGCATAAAGGGTAAAACAACATAACGTTAGCAATTTTTGGATGGCATTTCTATCTACAGAAGATTAAAATTCTCACTCCTTTTTTTCTTTCGTAGAAATATTTTTCAACCTATACTCCTATTTCTGATTCCTGACAAGTTGATGCTCTCTCAATTCTTATGAATTACATTTATACAACATTAAAGCCTAATTTGAACATCACTAAGATGGAAATAATTATACAAAAGACAATCTCAAGAATACTGCAATTGTACTTTAAGGTTTAGACTAACGTCGCGTACTATTCTGTAATTCTCAAGAAGACTGCAATTCTTCTAGACAAAGGTTCAGATAAGCTTTGAGTGTGTATCTGTAATTAGTATTTCCAAAGTAGACAAACCACATTTATGATTCAATTTTTCTTTTTATATACAATTTGTTTAGAAATAAATAATGTATAATGTGGATTAGATAAGTGTTATTAATTGGATCGCTGGTGATGTAAATACCTTCTATTATTTAAGAATGAGACTTTTAATTATCACTCTTAAATTAGTGTTATTGTTGGAGTACATTTTGCAGTTATGAAGTTATCTGCAATATATACAACTGTTACCCAGCAGGTCTATGCAGTAATCTAATTCTTTTAAGGACACTTTCCAAAGCTCTCTGACATGTCTAACAAACAAAAAAGTTGTTTGTCATTACATCTCTCTATGTTTTTCAATTTTGGCTCTTAAATCAACCAGATAACTAGCAGTAAGCTCTAGTGCAAGGTCAGTCTGCACCAGACAGCAAAGCATACACCATGAAGTGTCTGTTTTATCGTAATGGCTCTGTGTGTTCACAAGAGACTACATGTTGTGATTGTTTTTGCTTTTCGAAAGAACGGAGATTGCAAAAATACAAGCCAGCCATTAAGTTGAACTAATGATTGGATCTTATGGAAATACAGAATACAGTTTGTACTTCAAGTCTTTACTGATTGCTCTTGAAGTAATCAAGGAGACTTAAATTATGCCTTAGACTTAACTTATGGTTGGACACAGATGCATCTAACAATCAAAGAAGGCTCATGTTGCTACAGTTAAAAAATTCATGAAAGGATACACTAGCAGATATGATGGTGCTAACACCATAATAGATGAAGCTGTTCAAAAAATCAAGCACTTCAAAGCAAGAGAACCGAGTTGGAACTGCAGATATTGTTGAGACTTCAACTGAAAATCAGCTATAACAAGTGTCTCAGATTCTTCCATTTGAAGAAGGAAAATGGACCTTTCAAAATTAAAGAATCTGAGGAAAGGAGGCTTCCAGACATGCTTCTGACATTCAAGATTTTGGATTCCCTACCTAGCAACTATAGAACATTCAAATCCAGTTTGACCATGCTTACGAAAGATCAAAGAGCTGAAAATAATTTCACCACTCAATTGTGTAGCAGAGAGCGAGTTAAGGAATTCAAGGAAAGAGAGATGATCAAGGGGGCCAAGACTAAGAAAAACAAGCAATTTCACAAAATTTGATGAAAGAATTGCCAGTTAGCTTATGCTAAGAAAATTTTAAAATGTTTAATATGGAAAATTTTTGAAGTGCAAGTACTTCAATTATCAAAGATGGAAGAGTTAAACTGAAACATGGGAACCCAGATACATATTTTGTTTATCAAGATGCTTTAATGAATCCACTGGAAGGATTATGACCACCCCTGTCTTCTTGCATTGAAATATTGTCTTGCCACTTGGAGATAGCCTAATACAGTAAAAGTAAAGCATGTTTTCATATACATTTCTAATACTTTTATGAGGAGAATTCTCTTTAAAAAGGGGTTCCAGTCCATACCTTTCAACACCATAGTGATTCTGATCACACTGGTTGTGTTGTTCTATTAGTCAATCTGTATTTTTGTATTCTGGTGGTTTCACATATTGTTTTAGTCAATGACAGTCAGAAACTGCTTGGTTAATTTCTATGACTGAGGTTATTGCATCAAGTGAATGTTATAAAAGAAGCAATTTGGCTCAAATGCTTATCAAAGAAATCATGAACTTTAAAAAAATTGAAAATATATTCCTTTAAGTAAACTGACAAATAATTCTGAACAAAGCATATTTTGGTTAAGTTATTTTTATTAGAGAAATGGAATTAAAAATAGAGTTAATTGACTTAATAGTTTCCTCTGAGTTTCAGAACGTATATTTTTTGACAAAGCTATTAGCTAAGCCTTGGTTGTTGCTGCTGTGTGAACCTAAAAGTGTTAGAGTAAATGTATGTCTAAAGATGACTGCAAGATATGACAATAGTTACTTGGCAAGTGGACATGCTCTAGATGGCAGTGATGTGTGAATGTTGTTGTTGCTCTTTGTTACTTAGAAAATACCCTTTTTGTACAGCTCTCTCACATGAGTAACCAACAATAAAGTTGTTTGTCATTTTGCCTCTCGAATGTTTTTCATTTTTGGCTTTTAAATCAGCACTAATAGCAATAACTATATCAGTTATTTTAAATTGATGGTAATATATAATTACATTCATATTTGACAATGCTTAGAATGTTGCAGTGTCACAAATATTTTTTTTTTTTTGAAGACTGTTACTTTGTAAATCTCTTCACCAACCTGCACAGAGCGAATGTCCATGAGCCCTTCCAGTTTATCTCTGATGACAATGCTTTCAGAGCCATTTCTTTTGTCAGCGCGATGAAGAGCTTCAGTGTGCCAGTCCGTCCAATAAACATGACTCCCAACAATCACCAGGCCGTAGGGGTGTGGTACTTCAGTTACAATGACATGTCGATCATGACCAGATAAATCAGTACTTTCAATGGTTTTTCTTTTGCCATCACACCAATATATGCGACCTGCGGGTCTGTCAATAGCCAATCCATTTGGCCAACCCAAGTTTTCAGACACAAGAATTGTTCTGGAAAGGAAAGGGAAAAAACATTTTATGTTTACTGAGTATTATAGACTCTAATGGAGAACTACATGGTTCTGTCGCAAGCTTTTCCTCTCAGAAGTTTTGGTATTGTAATAAAAACTAAAAAAAGTTCAACAAAGAATGCAACACAGTAAATAACTTTTAAAATATTCTCCAAAAATGTAAGAATCTGTACTTGCATAAGCTTATGTAATATCCAACAAGCAATTAATCCAGACCATTTACAGTATTATCTCACATGTAAATTTATAATTTTGATTTGTTTGTTTACTTTTCAGGCTTTTCATTGAGATATTTATGCCATTTTATCAAATCCATGAACATTACACGATTATGTTTTTGAATCTTTTTGTTAGATCTCAGAATGAAAACTCTTAATACAACCAAATTGGGTTTACTATTCTGTCATCTTGCTCTTTGGAATGATAATAGAAGGCAATTTTTTAAAATGAAAATAGTTCAGAAGTAGATATACGGTCTTTATTTAACTAATTGCTGCAAAATCAATTAAATAAAAGTAGAATGACATTCTAAAGCTATTTTAACTCATAATGGAAATCTCTTTCAAGATGCAGGAAGTTTTCATTCATTTCAGATTTATGTCTTATAAATTCTGCCTTATCTCTTTAGTTTTACAAGTTGTTGTACAAAATCTTTATCATTCTCAAAGTCACTGTTGCACATAAAAATAAAAAAGAATGCAACTGAAATCTAGGAATAAAACACTGCACTTTGAGCACAAAGCTAATGAACAATCAATTTCTGAATCCTATATATTACCTGTTCTTGCCATCCATGTGTGCTTGTTCTATACGAGCATTTTTACCCCAGTCAGACCAATACATAAGACCTAAATGATAATGAAGTGTGATTGCTCTTGGTGATTCTAAATCCATCCAAACCAGAACTTTTCTATTTTGCCCATCTAACTCAGCAACTTCAATACTCTTGCGACCTTTGTCTGTCCAATAAATCTGTTCACAACAAAAATACTCAAACATTGTTGGTAAAGTATACATGAAAAATTAATTTCATTCAGACACAACAAATTTTCAGATTTATTGCAATTTCTCTTATACCTTGCGTCCGGTAGAATCAACAACAATTCCATCTGCAGTTTCTAGTCCATCCACAATTACTGTTTCAATGTTCTTACCATCAGGTGTAGCTTTTTGAATAACATCTTCAGCAGTATCAGTCCAATATATCTCACCTGAAATTAATGTAATTATTTTAATGTATAAAAATAATATGTATATAAATAAAAATTACAAACAGATACACGCTAGATTTATAATTATCATTAAAAAAATTACCAGTTTTCCTATCTACGTCCACAGCAATAGCATTTTTTAGAGGTGGTAAAGGTAATACAACATCAACAGTATAAGACACATCTAAAGAAATCTGTCGAATATCAACTCTATGTGCAAATATTAATGAATTTGTTGGTCCAGGAGCACATGTTTTCAGATTTTTCTGGAAATAATAAGAGAATAGCAAACACTAAAACAGAAGAAATATAAAGAAAGGTAGTAATCACATGAAATGTAATTCAGTCTTACCCCTAACTGAATTCCGATAGGACATGCACATGAATAACCTCGTGGCTTTGGAGCAAGAAGACATAAATGTGAACAACCACCATTTCTGGAACTGCAGTTTGTATGTACAGGTACTCGTCCATGATGAAATACTCTGACATCCATTAAACCTGAAATTCCTGACCTGAAAATCAAAGAAAGGAAAAAAAAAAAAAGAAAAAAAAGAAAAAAAAATTGCTAATGAAATTCTGCTTCAAAATTGCTAATGAAAGGCTCAAAGTTCATCTTTTTTTAAGAAGCAGTAAGAGAACCATTACCTGATCACTGTTTTATTTTTTCCTGTCAATTTATCAGCCATATGGATACTTGTTGTATTCCAATCAGTCCAATATATTTTATCTTCAAAGACAGCCAAACCAAAAGGGTGAGGTAGGTCTGTTCCTTAAAACATGTAAATAAAATATTAATTAGGTAATTGTAAAGTATAAAGTTGATAGACAGCTCAAATAAATAGGCATGTACCTATTAATGTTGTGCGTCCACTTCCATCCAGAGACGCAAATTCTATTGCTTTGGTCCCTCCATCTGCCCAGTACAAATGAGCCTGCTCATGATCAATGGCTAAACCATTGGGCCAAACAAGACGTTGCATTATTAAAGGAGCTCTTTGTGATCCATCCATGCCTGCCCTTTCAATTTTAGGTACATGGCCCCAATCACTCCAATACATGTAACCTCCTGAGAAATATAGATCCAGAATTGAATTGTGAATAATCAATTGAAATCAACTGAAAAAATAACTTATTCTTAAAATTTAAATCAGCATCATATTATATTCCTATTTTTTTATCAATGTATACTTTCAAAAAAAAAATTTTTCAAGACATTTGCAGTTTCAGTTTCAAAGCAGTTCAAATTGTTTCTAAAAATCTAACTTCTCTTAAAGGATTTTTTCTAGGGTTTATTATGTTTTATCCTGATCAATTGTAATGAATCGCAACTGAAAACATTAATTTATTGTAAGAATGATAAAAATAAATTTAATTAATTCTGTGAGTCTGTTTGACATCACAAGGAACGAGAAAACTAAAAAACACTAATGAATATAATGAAATCCCATAACATTTCAAGAAAGAATAATAGCATAAAGGACACTTAAGAGAATAGTGCAAGTCTTATTTTCAATGAAATCATTGATTTTTCTAAAATTGCAAAAAATCATTTTTTAGCATCTATAATATTGAAGATAGAGATTTTCCCCCTAATGAAATCTGTTCTTTAATGACAGATCTTGAAAAAAGGTCATGAGGTGTCTTGTTTTGAAAATATGAGCACTTTTCATGAAATTTTGCAAGACATTAGGTAATTTTTAATTCTTTTAAACATATCTTTCTCAAATAACATTCCAAATTTTTTCCTTAAATTTTCTCCTTCTTGATAACAAGGGACAGTAAAATATATGGTTCTAGTCCCGTTTTTGAAAAACACTGTATTTTTGAAAATTGAAAGAACTTAACATTTCAAAACTATAAAATTGAAGATAGCAATTTTTGCCACAAGCAGTCTGCTCTAAAAAATCAGCTCATCAAAAAAGGCAAGTAAAATGTTTTGGACAAACGAGTAGATTTTGCATAATTTTTGTCTGAAATTTATGGAATTCCTAAAAAAAATTATTTTCTCAAAAAAATTCAAATTTTTTTCATTAAATTTTCTCCTCATATATAACAAAGGGCAATAAAAATATGGTGCCAATCCCATTTTCATTTTTTAAAATTGCAAAAAGTTACATTTCAATCCACAAGCCTGAGTTTGAATCTTGCCATGTTTTGATAGCACAGAGGTAAGGCAAACGGTGTGTAAACTGAGAGGATCTGAATTTGAGTCTCGAAGCAGAAAAACATTTTCAACGGTTGAAAATCCTTTTGCAAATTTATGTAGTAGTATAATAAAGCAGAGCAGTTAGAAATAATATGCCATTGTAACACCACTACTTTAAAGATATTGCACATTATTGTAGTCTTCAATTTTTGTGGTACAATTTTGTTGTTTTTGCATCTCATTAATTAGTTTTAGTTCTTGTCTTCCTTATTTTATCCTTTTTTATCCCAATTATCCAATTTCCTTTCTGTTCTTCAGAGGGGTTATTGTAGTTTCCAGCTCATCCATATCTATTTCATCCTCTACTTTGATTACTTCTTCTGCTTCATTGTTTGTGTCTTTTCTTGGACTAGGACCTACTTTTTGGAAATTTAATCAAAAACGTTATTGAGCATCCTTTAATAAACAGGAAATAACCCACTAAATTATGAAATTATTCATATAATAACAAAAGAAAATATGAACTTTGACAATAGCAGAACAGAAGAAATATCACCATATCATCATCATTATTTTGAACTGCAGGATACCAGACCTAGTACTTATTTCTGTTTGTTCAGAACACCTGATAGTTTATAGCTCCAGTTGTTTCTGTTCATAATTTTCTCTTTGACCTTTCAATATTTCTCTGTTCTGTGTGTTCCTAACCACAATGAAATTTCCTTAAAAGATACTTCAGAAATATTAAAAGCCTTTTTTGATCCTGAAAAAACTTTAACTTCATAATACGTTGGATATGATGATGAAACAAAGGAAATCAAAGAAATGGGAACCCTAAAGAAAGTAACATGAAAAAATACTAAAAACACAATTTTTATTGCATTTTTTGATAGAGCAAAATCATGTTAACATCAGGGGCGAGTGGAAAATTATGACATGGGGTTGGACAATATCAGATTTGAGAATGCAATAAATTTGAGGGTTTAAAAAAGAATATTGTAGGAGAAAATGAAAATAACAGCAGGCAAATAATAGTCATTGATAAATGTAAAATGCATATTATAGTACATTCCTAATTCAGAGACTTATAAGATGGAAAGAAATAGGAAAGTTATAAGGAGGGCAAAAATAAATAGAATTCGCTATGGTGAAGCTCTAATTTCATAACAAAAGAATTCTATAAGGAACCAATGATAGATATCATTAAATCATATCATTGTCTTAAACAGTGTACGAATAATCTAAATTTAACAAAATGCAATTAGATTAAAGCCGTTTTTTAATAACTTTCAAAGCCTGATTTCACTACTTCCAATTTCTGATCGTTCCTTTATAATGCTACTAATGATAATTAACCAGGAATTGAAATAAGCACAACATACAACAAAAGTGGAAGCATTTTGTGTACAGCAAAAGTGGAAGAGTATTGCATAAAATTCTGTGAAGACAGTTAATGAAATAACTAATATGATTTTAGGAAGCAATAAATATATATAAATTCTATTTTTGTCAGAAAGATTGCAGAACATACCTATTGGGTCTACAACAATATCTCTAGGCTTGTCTAGACCCTCCCATACAAGAAGAGCTCGCATACTTCCATCAAGATTCGATACTTCCACTCGGTTGGTGCCAGCATCAGTCCAGTACAATTTCTTTGTAACCCAATCAACAGCTAAGCCAGCTGGAGATTCTACAAAAGAAGTTGAGATAAATCATTACTTCTTGAAGCTGACCCTAGACCACAAATAATTCATAAGCAGAGAAATTTCTAGCTACAAAAGGAAAATAATATTCAATTACTACTAAATTTCTTTTCAGTGTTATCAAGTTTATTACAAATATATACTTTTCAGGTTAATAAATGTACATTGTGTTTACCAATACAGCAAAAAAGTAATCTTGATGATAAGAGATACACATCAGGAACTTTCTCAACCATGGAATGTCATTAATTTAAGGAGAAAGTAAAAATTACGAGCTGAATAAAAAAATCAGGAACAAACCTATACAATAATTTTCTCCACTAAATAACCAATAATACAGCCAATATAATTGTGAACACATTGCAAATGAACTTGATATCATATTATAATGCCAGTTCAACATCAGACTGAAGCTTACAAACCAACCTAAGTTTGAGCTAATGATCACTCTTTCATTGCTGCCATTCAAGTTTGCACGACTGATAATATCTCCTTCAACATCAGTCCAAAATATTGAATCAGTGTCTGAGTCCCACGCCAAAGCTACTGCAGACTGAATTCCATCCAGAGGAATTGCCATGTCCACAGCCTTTTCTGGACTGACTCCTAACTGCCTCACGCGGAGATCCTTCTTGCGGGCGAACAACAAAAGTTTTTCAGGTGTAGATTCACAGGTTTTCCTAAAAAAATTTAAATCACAGTAACTCCTTATATAAAGGATATTATTGTTGTTACATTACTTATTGTGAAAGAAGATTAGTGACTCAATAAAGTCTGTTCAGTTCTCCAAAGAAATGAAATTAGAAATTAATTGGCTTTGTTCTTCACTCAGTATCTTTTTTAATATTCAATACTGCCAAGAAGCAAATTTTTTATGTTAAAAAACAACATTTTATATAAGGTTTACAATAACTGAAAATGCACTGATTAGAAATTAGACTTGTGCATTACTCTTAATCTTTTTGACATATTAAGTGTTTAACTCCTTTTCTAAATTAAATTTAATTTTATTACACATTTTGGACAAATATAAGTTAAAAGTTAGATAATAAATAGAAAAAAGAAAGGATATTTTTAGGTTGCGTAAGTTGTACTGAAGTTCTCTGCATAACCTAATGAAAACCTGAAAGTTATAACTATTAATTTCTAAATTCCTTATCTCTTACAAATTTTAATATAGTTTTATAAACTATATTTTGTCATTATGACAATCTTTGTCACTTTAATGTTCTTAAAGTAAAAAGTGAAAACAAATCAATGTCAAAAATTGTCCTGAATTCGGACAACTTTCACTATAACTGTCAATTTCTTTTTTGTGGTATTTAAACTAATAGTTATGAAAGTTGTCGAAATTCAAAATAATTTATTTTAATTTTGAAACCATCGACTAGGCACACGAGGGAACTCAAAAAAACATGAACTTTAATTTTTTCACACGGGAAAAGTTACAATTTATTTACAAATGTTAAAAGTGTGAGAGAAAAAGGACCCCCAGCAATGTGTCCTTCTATTAAGGCTTCCTAACATTGTGAAATAATATAACTTGGTAAATAAAAGAATGTTTCATCTTTAATGCCATTTATCAAGGATTTATAAAAAAATTTAGAAGAACAACATTGATTTGATAATATCTGGATATCCACCAAGCAATATAATAATCGTTCACAAAGTTTCTACAAAAACAAACAATAAATGTAATTTATTGGGACTTTTTCATTAACGGAATATTTTGAGATCAAAAGTTCCGTTGTGAATTTCACATCTTATTTTGTTTTCCTTCTGAGCATATCAACTTGTACTTTTTGTGAGTTTTCAATTTACATGTTTGTTCATTCACACTCTGGAACCATAATTCAATGTGCTCATCCTCCAGTGAGTTTATTATGTCTTCTTGGATTGTGTGATCACATAAGAAGGTCATTTACCAGGGGCTTCGTGGCTAATGTGTCAGTTGAGGCTTCTTGTCATTGCACAGTTAATATAAAATGTTAACTTTGAGACTCTAGGGGTACCTCAGAGATAAAATTATATTCCCGTGTGACCTCTTCTGATTTAATGGTTACTATAATGCATATGCATTTCAAACAAATCACAAAAATGGATGAAACCGAGTTCCACTTACAAATATGTAAGAAACTACAATATTCTGGACAGACTAAACTCTAAAGAAGAAGAAAATAAGGACAGAAGTATGATGAGGAACAATAGTTGTAAGTAACTTTTGTCCACTTCCTTATGACAATCAAAGGAAGAAAACAACAAAATATGTGAAATAGTAATTTGGTTGCCTCACAATAGACATTTCAAAGTCAAGCTCTCAAGACATTACTTACCCATTAGAATGAAGCTTTATTCCCATTGGACACACACACTGAAAGCGAGCAGGAGATCTGTTTGGTAGACACATATGTGAACAACCACCATTGTTGCTGCCACAGCGATTTTGATAAAGTGGTTGGCGTTGTGGGTGGTAGCTGTTGAAGAAATAATTCATTTACATCTTTTATGATTTTGCAATGAACTTTATCATATGCAACAAATACTGCAAAATAGGTAAATGATGTACATTACATTTATCTTCCCATAATTCCATCTACAATTGTGTTAAAACTTTTAATTATAGAAAAGATTATATGATTAGTCACTCGTTTAGAGGAAGCATCTTTGGGTATCATGCATTGATGAACATGTACGATTAAATAATCTGGGTACAAAAAAATGAAGGAATACAAATGTGAATTACTCATATTTTGGTAATGGAGTTACACATATACACTACAGATAGTGAGGTAAAGATAAAAAGTATTTGTTCAGAAAAACATTTGGCTTATTTTCCTTGTTTTAACTACTTTGGTATGAACAATAGAAGAACTAATCATCAGAGGAATCGTGATATGTGAAGCATATCCCTTTGCAATGCACTGTTTTATGCATTAAAGAATAAAAGGACAAGAGAAAAAAAGAAAGAAAGAATATTTTGGGTTTGTATTAAGTTAAAACATTCAGGATTGTAACTGAATCATTTATATTTAAGCAAAGAAGTCATAAAAAAGAAAGAGGTCATAAGTACATGAGACAAATTAAAACCAAATGTGATTTCAATGAAGTGCTATTTAGTTGAAGAGCTTTCAATTAATAACAATTAATATTTGTGATGATAAGACCAACTAGTTTAATTCACTTTTTTAAATATAACTTAACTAGTAAATAAGATTACATGCCATTCTTAAATATGTACATTCTACAGATGAAATAAGAATATATTAATACCTGTGGATGTCCATTGGAAAATGTAGACGAGAATGAATTGTGCGTAATCCCATACCCGTTACTTTATTAGCAGTTTGTATACTTTTCGTATGCCAATCAGTCCAGTAAATGGCATCTTCAAATAATGTCAAGGCAAATGGATGATGTAGCCCTTTACTAAGTACCTATGTAATATAAGCAAGATTATGAAGATGGAATAGTGTTAATGAAAGTTTATCAAGAATGGTGTGTAAATACTTAAATTTGAGTTAAATATCAATCAATTTAATACCTTCTTTCTATCGGAACCATCAAACTTGGCAGTTTCAATAACATGATGCTTAGCATCTGCCCAATAAATACGACTCGTTGTATAATCTATACACAATCCATTAGGCCAAAATAGGAATTCAGTGATAATAGCTTTTCTATTACTTCCATCCATTTCAGCTTGTTCAATTTTTGGGTTCGGTCCTGATTAAATAACATTAGCCATTTTTATTAATAAATATTAGAAATTCACAAACTTTAAGTACAAACAATTTCTTGTACAAAATATAAAAATAGTTACTTTTATATTAAAAAAAAGTTATTATTTCATGTTTCATCAATAAACAGTTTTCAGTTTTGGCGTTAAACATTTTCTTGACTTCCTTTTAATATTTGTTTTCTTATTGTTTTTTATTTTTCAAAATTTGAATGAATAAGATCATTCAATACGAGTATCTTTGGATACAGTAAAACCTGTCTAAGAAGAACCTGGATAAGGCAGAAACATGCCTTTGCTAGAAAAATCTCAAAATGTGTATTTTTCAATGCTAAGTACACTGGATTAGCCAGAAATCTGCCCAATGCAGAAATGGAAAGGAATTTTTAGTTCAACAGTGTACAAAATTCAGAATAAGATGGAAAAAAAAGTTTGTTTTAAAATTAAATATTGAATTGTAAGTGTGTGACATCCAACCATGAGACACTCAAGAGCTGTGCTCATTCATTCTCTCAGCTATCCTTGTCCAAATACTGTATTTCCCATACTAAACATTTAAAAGCCATTGTTTAGTTGTATTAGCACAAGACTGTGAAGAGCGATTCCTTGTAATACATGCTTTGGCTTCAGTAATATTAAACATTTACTGTTGTTCAATTTGATGAGTTGCAGGTCTTGTGTTAATCAAGGATTTATGATGTTTGGTGGCAAATTGAAAATGCTAACTTTTGGTAAGAAAATGTGAAGAACGTAAACCAAGCTACACATTCGTCAAGATTTTGATAAAGAAATTTAATGTTTGGAAAACTCAAACTTTAAAGCTGGTTATGACACTTTAAAAACAAAGACAAATCAAGAATCAGTGGTTAAAAGAAAATTTTTTTAGTGGTTGCCACAATATTCACGAGGACCATAGGCAAATAGCCACACCCTAAATCATCAGATATATTCATCTGTTCCTATACATATTGAAGAAAATAATATTTCTTTTACTTTTTATGGAGTTCTATGTTTCAACTTTGTTTTGCATTTCTATATGTAATTTTCTTTGTCTCTCGATGTATGTCTTCCTTTATTTGAAATACAGTTTTTAGGTAAAACTGTTTTCAAATAACTACTCATACAATTCTGTCTTTGAACAATTACTTTTTCTGAATTGACAGTTTTTATTGCAAACCTAAAAAGCTGAAAATTTGTACAAGACTGAAGAAAATGTTGGACCCAAATGATTCCAGGTAAGACAGATTTTACTGTGCTTGGATAGGTACTACATCTGCATTGAGCTTCTGAATACTAAAAATCACTGTTATCAGTCTATTTATAGAAGTGAATAAAAAGTAATTTGAAGATTATCTGAAAATGCACAATAAAATAAATAGAATTATTTATATTTTACCCCAATCTGTCCAGAATATAAGAGCTTCTCCTGGGTGGACAACAATGGCTCTTGGTTTATCCAGGTCACTTGAGGCTACAATGTATCTATGAACACCATCAAGAGATGCAACTTCAACACGACTTGTTCCTGAGTCGGTCCAAAACATTAAATTGTGTATCCAATCCACTGCTATTCCTCCTGGGCTCTCCAAACCCCAGCGGATAATATCTGGAATTTTGAACAGAAAGTTTTTTACTTACCATAATTCTCTATAACTAATCTTAGATAAAATATTATTATGGCAAAAGAATGAATTGGTGTTTGGAGTCATAATTTTCAGATTTTTTACATTCAGAAAACAATGAAACCACTTACTCCTCGCACATGAGAAGATATGGGTACGAGGTCATTAATTCAAAGGAATTTATAAAGGTGTATTGTTTTGTTAATTTCTACAGAAAACAAGGCAGTATGAACAAGAGGCTTTTCTTAACTTACCAACAGATCCTGAACCATTTAAACTTGCTCTCTTGATAACATCCATGGAGACATCAGACCAAAATATCAAGCCCTCTCTGTAATGGTAATCAAGGGCAATTGCATTGTGCAAACCTTTCAACAATGCAGTGTATTTTACACTATTCAAGCTCACCTATAAATAAAAAAATTAACAAATAAATAAATATTATAAATGAAATAATGCTAAATATGCTAAATGAAAATTAAAAAATATCATTTCTTTTTTTCTCTTATATCTGCTATATCTATTATATCTGTTATATAATTAATTATTTTAACATTAATTCATTATAATAATGTAATATAATTATTTAATTAAACATATTACTTTATTTAATGGAATAAAATTTTAATTTTCAATTGATAGAACATATATTACTTGTCTTATATCTATCCTATTTGCAAAGAGAAGTGTTGGGGCTGCACCAAGAGCTTTGCATGTTCTGCCATCAGGCCGTAATACATATCCAGTCATGCAACCACATGTAAATGATCCCACAGTATTGTTACAGGTTTGGCTACACACAGGATCTGTCTCAAATAAGCACTCATTCACATCATGACAGCTGAAACAGAATAAGATATCATAATCGTTGTCAGAAATATTTAAAAAAAAATTAAAAGGATTACGAACACAATTTTGTTTTTTATTGCAAACAGTATTAGCAGAGTAAATAGTTGCACAGTTTTCTTCAGTGATTAATTAATTTTGGAAATATCTACTTCAACATATTCCAAGTAAATCTTGATCAAAAATGTATCATTTGAGTTTTAAATTGTATAATTGAAGACTAAATAGTTTTGTAAATTCTGAATATATTAATAGATAGTATGTTATGGTATTTGATAAATGCAACATAATGAATTAAATGTTCCTAATAATATCCATTTACATAAAAGTACCAAATAAACAAATGTGCAGAGAATACCTTTAGAATTATAGAAAACTAAATTTAATTTTTGGAATAAATTTCAATCTTGCCATATTTTCTGAAATGAAACAAATACGCTCTGGCAGTGAATACCTGTAGTTGTCACTGTTTAGTGCAAAACCTTGATGGCAACTGCACCCATCAGATCCATCTGGTAAAGTGACACAATCTTGTTGGCATTTGGAACCAGGTTCACAATCCTTCTTTCGTGGGCAATTCTTCTCATCTAAAAATGAAAGATAATAAATAAGCAAAGATGATAAGATAATTATGTTTACGCTGAATATGAATAAATATTACCTTCTCCTTTGGGGCAATCTTTCTTCCCATCACATACATGTTTTTTGCCAATGCATGTTACCACTGATCGTGAAGTTGTTTCATTGTTATTTAGGGAACCACATCTAAATTGTGATTTTTCACACTGAGCTTCACAAGAACTTTCATCTTCCCCTTGTGAACAGTCCTGTACTCCATCACATACCCAAGTTTTCTGAAAATAAAGTTCTGAGGTGAGAAATCCAAACAATATCTGTATTTTTATTCAAAGACTTGGGTATTATTTTCATTTTAGTCAAAATGTGTAATAACATAAAAGTTTTCAGGATGATCAACATGTAAATCAAACAAAAATTAAAGTTTTGTAATATGAATATCATGTTAGAGCTAATGGTCTTTATGAAACAAAGATTAAAATACATGTGATAAGTGAAAGAACTCACTGGTATGCAACTTCCTGCAGTTCCACAGCTGAATTCTTCAGGAGTGCATGTCCTTGGTTCCTTTTCAGCACAACCCTCCTCATCTTCTCCTTGATCACAATCCTTCTCACCATCACATCGCCACATCTCAGAAATGCATTTCCCTCCATCACACCTGATAAACATTTTTGAAATTAATGAGCTCATCTTCTTGAGCAAAAATATTTCTACAAATTTATCCCAGTGTAAATTAATTGAAGTATTTGACTAACTGCATGTTTTATCATTATATAGTGGCAAGAATGGGTCAATGAGGTTTCAGAACTTTTTAGTAATGTAATATCCTCCGTTCTTGTGTAATAAACGTCATATTTTAAGAATTTTGTATTTAAGTCTTGTAATTGCAATTGGTAATAATAAAATATAAATAATTAATATTATGGAAAAAATACTATTTTGTATGAGCACACTAGTTACTTGTGATTGTAGGATTGTCATGTATTTACAGTTAATAGTCATTTCTGCATTAAAAAGTGTAAATCCTCAATTCTTTTTATAAAATATTGGTTTGTTAAGCCATTTCCATAATATCCCATATACCTATTATTTTGTGAGGTGTAATCTTGGACGTAAGAAATCAAAATTAATATGCAGTAGACCTGCCATTTCTATTACTCTCCTTTTGAGAACGTTATATGGAAACATTCAAAATCAGGAGTCTAACTCTTAAAATTACTAAATTGATAAGATCAATCTAAGTACTTCTATTAAGCCTTACTTGCTTCTGGATTTACATAAGCAACTGTACTTTTCTTTAATTTCTCAAGAATTGAGACATTTTTAAGATCCAAAAGAAATGTACCGGCTGCATTTTAAACTCCTTTATTACCACATTATGTCCAACAACATCGTGCGCGACAACCAGTTGTTCATATTACAAACGAACACGAACTCAAAGTTTAAAGAACGTCCAACAGACTTACCAAATACAATGTTATTTATGTTGTTCGCTCAGAAGTAGGCCTGCTGATACGTCCACGCATTACCAGCCTCAATTCATTGCAATGTTCCAAATAACGGATATGATTTACCGCGCACTCCTGCTTTCTTTTCTTTGCACCTTATTTCTAGCGGCAGTAGCGTTTCTGAAGGGATATGAACACCTGACAGCACAACATTTCCCAATTCTCTATTCATTGGATCCCTAGTCAATCATTGAGTGTATTTATTCGTCATGCGTGTCATTTGTCACCGACTCAGTTTTAGTTGACCCTTGGACAATGATTATTCCATTTTCATATTTGTTTCCGTATATTGTTTTATGTAATTTATATATTGACAGTGTATACAGTCCTTTTCCAAATAGTATTTGTACTCGATCTTTATCAAATAAACTATGGTTTTTGCACCCAAGGTAATCTTGAACCCAATGACTTCGGATACTCGCAACTATGTGCAAAATAAGATGATACAATGTACAATGTTCATATTTTTGCGCAAAATTTGCGAATACATATTGTTGATAAATGTTGAGCAAAAATTAAATTACTTTCTTGCGATGAACATATAACATATTTTATAAAGAGATATCTAAAGAAGCGCCTTACCGTAAATAAAAACGTTTCCGAGCCTATAACTTTAAAAGAGTTAATTTTACAACAAAACCTTTTAGGAACTCTTTTGTAGGAAATTGTGTCTACATTAAATTTGAGTAGAACATAATTTTCACTAGAATTGACGCCGATCCGGTGGGCGAGAACGCCAAGGCAGTAGTGCTGTACTGATCTCGGGTTCGAGTTCGGGCGTGGTCATTAATGACCTAGTAGTTGATGCGACTTTAAATAACAAAAACAAATGCTAGGATTGATAATTATGGGGATATAGAAAAACTAGTGGCCCAGACCTTCCTGTATTAATTTCCTTTGGTCTCGGCTAGCTATACGAATACAGGCCAGGTGTCGTCAAATCGCCGCAGAAAGGAAGTTTTTTGAAATGTTCTTGATTTTTCAGTTACCTATTACTATAACCAATATATTATTTTAAGAATATTAAATAACTGTAAAACCTTGCCCTAAATGGTAATTTTCTTTGAAAAAATTGGAACAATTGTACGAAAATGGCGCATAAGCGCCACTGGAAATTCGAAATTTGATGTTATTTTTACAGAAAATTTTTGAGTTTTCGAAAGACTTCATGTGAAGTCATTTCAAGCACTTACACTCAAAAATACAATAGTGTTTACAAATTCCTGGAAATGTGCATTTTAATGGCGTGAGAGATCTTAAAAAAATACATTTGTGTAATTTTTGAAAAACCAAAAGAAAAGAGCAAACTGATGATGTTCGGCCCTAAGCCGCCATTCTGATTGTTTTCTGGGTTTACTCAATCGCTTAAGGCATATGCCGGGATGGTCCCTAGATTTGTTCTCCTAGTCGTAAATGTATAGCTTGTCTTCCCCTAAATGTTACTACTCTGCATGTATGTAAATTCAGTAGTAGGCGGAAGAGCTGGCTCTATGGCCTGAGCCTCGCCATTAATAAAGGCATTATTATTATTATTATTATTATTATTATTATTATTATTATTATTATTATTATTATTATTATTATTATTATTATTATTATTATTATTATTATTATTATTATTATTTTACATTATTCACAGTATCTACTGGTCGGTATGTCAACCACACACAGGAATGATGACCAGGTGTGTGGTTGCTTTACTGAAGGTTCAGATGGCTTCTGACAATACGGCATGTATTCAAAATTACTGACTTTTGCATATTATATTCATTCCTGGCATCCAAGTGAAGACACTCCAGTGTCCGAAGTGTCATTTTTGGAATCACTCCTGTAGCTGATATTATTATAGGCACAGTTGTCACTTTCGGTATACTTCTGGATTTTCTCTTGATATTTTCCCGATATGTTGTGGGTATTCGGTATTGATATATCGATAAGGGAAACCTGCTGATGGTTTCTATCAATGTACGTTATATCGGGTCTATTGCCGTCGACGGGTCTGTCCGTGATAATGGAGCGACCCCAGTAGAGTGTGAGCTCACTACTTTCAAGCACATTCCGAGGCACATATTTATAATACGGCACGGAAGTGGCGAGTAGGCCCGTTCTCAATGCCAGTAATTGGTGGACCTGCTTCGCCACTTCACATGCCTCTTTTTGTATTCCAACTGTGCATGGCTGCTACATCCACTTGTCACGTGTTGGATAGTTTCGCCTTGCATACCTCACATCTTCTACACGAGTCGGAATGAATGGTAGAATTTTCTAGAATGTGTTTTCTGTAGTTCAATGTTGGCACACCTGTCCTGGATGGCTATCATGAAGGCTTCTGTCTCCGGAAAGAGATCCCGTGCTGGAGCCATTGCATGCGACGCAGAGATGTCGATTTCTGGTTTTACTTAGCTCGTGAGGGTACCTTCCATCGCAGTGCCTTCGTTTCCATAAGGTTATCTTCTCTTCGTTTCATAATTGGTTGAACAGGCGGATCAATGATTTTTCAAGTTCAGAGGACGTATAGTTATTAACTGCGCTCACTGCTTGCTGAACTCTCCCACAATGTTCGCAAGATGTATCTTCTGAGTGAGCAATTTGAGAGCTGTGTTAATTTATGAGAATCTGAATACTCGCCCTCTTTCGCATTTGGAAGGGTAAAACGCTCAGTACTTGAATGGGGATGATGTTTTCGGTGTTGAGTCATAGCGGTTCGAATTGTTCCTCTGGAGGTTGTCGAGGTCGGTATTGCTCCATTTAATAATGCCAAGGAGTATGTCAGCACTGGAATAAACAAATGATTGATGGCCTGCACAAGGTTCTCTAGCAGAGAATTGAGTTTTTAAAGTCCATGCAATCGTTTACACACTTCAGTTTGTCAGTATGTTCTTAGTTCAGTGTGTTTGTATTCGGAGTGACTGTTGGAAACCCAAATAATTGTAAGTTTCATGGGGTTCCAAGAAGGTAATCCTTTGTTCACTTATCAGTTCCAAATTTATAACTTGCATTTGACCTCGATGATATTCACTCTCCTGCACTTATCCAAACCGAATTTCATCTTGATGTCGTCAGTGAACTTCTCCGTCACTTGTTATAAGTTTGCCACATATGACTCCTCAGTGTCTGCATTAGAGCTCTCAGGTCTCCATGTAAAGAATATGTGAGACACGAAGAAGAGTTTGAATTTCCCTTTTTAAGCGCGTTCCATAATTAGATGAAATTGAGTAGAGTAGACAGGGGATTCAAGCTAAGCAGAAACAATAAGGGGCCTAAGAGTCGCCCTGGAAAATCCCTCGGCGGATGTGTATAGTATCTGTGTGACGGATTGTTTTTTTCCATTAGAGAGATACAGTTATGTATTCCTATCGACTCATTGCGGTTTTTCAGGAAGATTTGGATAAACTTATTATTATTATTATTATTATTATTATTATTATTATTATTAAAAGTAATAATAAAAATAAAAAAACCTTTAAATGCCCTCGGCCCATCCCCACCCCTCTAGAGTTTTTAGTATTAAATCATCAATCAATTCGTCCCAAATTTCAAAACTTCAGGAATTTTTTATTCGATTTGTCTAATTTGACAGTGGATATAGGAACAAGATTTACTCAATTTTTCGTCACCAGGGCCTGACGGTAAGAGTTTTTCTGTCGAAAAATTGTCGTGTTCCGGTGCACCATTTCACCTTATCTTCTTACTGAGCAAGGCGAGAAAGTAAAGTCGATTGTCAACAAAAGTCTGTCTGTCGGTTGTGTCCATTCGTCTGTCACCGCTCCCACGTAATAAGTGCTGACGATTTTCCAAAACTTGATATTCTCCGAACGATCTGAATGAACTCGAGGTCCTGCAGAGATAAGTCTTTGAGGCCATGTGAGTTTGAAATGGACATTTTGATTGGGGGGTGGGGGGTACTTTACACGAAATGGTTTTATCGGTTTTATGCACGTTTTCTAAGAGCCCTGATATTGATAGATGCCAGAGGTGTGGGGTTTTTGATTATTTTGATTACAGGACGATTATATTAAATCATTCTTTCATTTCAATATAGGTAAAGAAGCGACGATAGAGATCCCAGAGCTAAACAAAAACTTACGCGTATAATATTTTCAAATTTTCTCAAAAGTGGCGGCAAATTTTGCGATTAAACTTTGTGTCAGATAGCGTAAAGGGCGCTTAAAAACGGCGCAGGTCTCATTCCCAGTGAATTTAATTCGCAAAAATTGCAAACATGTAAATAATGCCAGAAATTATGTGTTGTTGTAACGTCATTAGTTACGTATCACACGTGCCACTTTCTCGTGTACATATATACGGAATACTATACCTTGTGTAGTGAAAGTTCTGTAATGCTGCTGGAAATCGATTTCCAGATTCCAACGGTAATTCACGATTTGGGGTCTCATTATAGTGTTTTTTTGCAAAACATCTGTCCATCTGTGCACAACATTAATGTCTAAACTATTCGCCGGATTTTTCCAACATGATACTTTCCGGTCGATCTGGCCGACTCAAAGCGGCGATTTTGAATAATATTCTTTAAATGTTTGGGGGTACTTTACGAGGAACCCCTGATACATTTTCAAAATTTTCTCAAAACGGTTCCAAATTTTGTCTCAAAATTTCTTGTAAGAGTAGAGTGAAATACACTTCATATAAAGATGACATAGGTCTGATTTTCACTGTCAAGTGTGCATTTTCTAAAATTGCAAAAGTTTGAAATTAATCGGCCACTTCCCACAATGCAATATTGAATATCATTTACAGTTACATTTTATTACATTATTACAATTACATTATCATTTACAATTACAATAGTGGAGTTTTTTCAGTTATTTTGTTTCCACAATATTCTTTAATTATTATCATGTATATGTTTTTTAGAATAAAAGTATTTTCTTCGTAATTTTGTGATATATGGACAGTATTAAAAAGTATTAAGAGAGATTTTTCTTAAAAAACGGCTTCAATTTTTTTCTTTAAACTTTGTAGGGAAAGTGCGAAATGAACTGTGTAAGATGACATAAATGGTATTTTGCTGTATTTTGTTGTGTTTTTTCCAAACATTTCACAAATGTATTTCTCTGGACACTCACTCACGTTGCTAATATTTACACTCCGGCGATTTGCGTACTTTATTGCATTTATGAGAATAATGTCTTTAAATGATGCCAAATGAAGTTTCTGGAAAACTCAAAAGTTTTCTGTGAAAATGAGTTCCAAATTGCTCATTTCCAGAAACGCTCAAAAACCATTTTCTCGAGAATGGATCATAATTTTTTCTGTATGGATAATTCTAAATTCACTGATTAACATGACATCTATGCCATTTTCTGTGTTTTCTGTTGTTTTAAAATTAAACAATATAATTGTCTCACCTCGTTAGTATTTACATTACTGACATTTCTTATTTGTCATCGCATTTGTGAATGCAATTGCAGTAAATAAGTACGGCACACTTTAGCATCACTAGTTTTGAAAGGGCACAGCTGATGGATGTAGAATCAGAAAAATCTTATCTCTTTTCTATTTTATTTAGTTGTGTTCACATCACCGCACCACATAAAATGAAGTTCTCGTAATAAATATTTAGCGAATATGATACTACAGAATAACTTATTCTATTCGAATCTATACGTTGGCTATTGCCTTTAAATTCAATGGTTATGCCATCCTTCAGTCAATGAGGATTAGAAACTTGCATTTAAGAATTAAAATACTGTTCACAACTTCAAATTAATAAATATTTAGTATAATTGTAATTTATTGAAGTTAACCTTTTCGGTTTTTGCCACGATTTATTCACTTCATTTATTTGGGTTTATGAGAGACCTTCACCTGTTGAGGTAATTGAAGCTCCTGTATGATGGTAGATGGTCATATCGATGACGTGAATGATGGAGCAATGATAGAATGAGATTCAGGGGAAACGTCAAACCCAGAGGAAATCTTCTGTGAGCTCGCTTTGACACCACAAATTCCACATGGAATGGCCAGGGATCGAACACGATTCCAGTGTTGGAAAACTCACGCTCAAGCCATTATGCCCTGAGAACTCCTTTGCGTCTATAGGAGACGAAAGGTTAAGTTAGCCGGACAGACGTCGCAACTCAGTGCTTGCCATGGGTGTAAAATTTACCTAGATACGCCGTTGCTTACAGACAGAAATCGTGAATGAATAGACAATTGATAAAAATGATACTAATTAGCGAAATGGTTTGATTTTATTTATTTTCTGCAAAAAATAAGTAACAACTCTAAATGAAGAATGGGGAGAAATATGTGAGATGTATGACAGAAGTAGGAGGGAGCTGAAGCCCTGTCGCGAATTCATTCTACCCTCAAGGACTTGCCCAGCGGTTGTCGAACCACTGTCCCGTGGCATGCGACCTTCCGCGAGATGCCTGCTATACTTCTGGGGACCATCTGACAGGTTTTTGAGTAAATGTTGCCTTCAAGACTTGCGCATGGGAAAAGGAGTTGGAATGGTGGATTGTGAGGTTTTGAATAGGATTAAGATCGGGATGCGAGGGCTCTCCTCCTCTGGACCTGCCGCGCCAGGAAGAACGGTGCCAGGGGCCGGTGCACGACCGCCTCGTTGCTCGAGGAGATTTGCACCGGAACAATTGCAACGCCCTTCCGCCCCCCGTGGCGTTCGGTGCCGTGCGACGCAGCCCGTTGCGGACGGGGAGGGGTGGGGGAGGGGTCCACGCCCTCTCCAACCAAACAGGCATCGTTACTTTATTCAAATTATTCAAAACAGGTTTACTCCTACTGATCGTATTATATTCCAAGTGAGTGCTTCCATCACGAATAGACGTTTTTTAAATTTCACGCAAAAAAGAGATGAAAAACAGAAAGCAATCGCCGTAGCAGGAAGCGTTTGTCCCCGCGAGGCCCTTCCGGTCCAGCCCGCGAGGCGAGGGAGGAGCCGATTGGCGCGTCTCCGTCTGGCAGAGGGGAGCTCATTATTTGGTTGTGGATTGAGTCGCAAGATTCTAAGCAAAACTAAAAAGTGTTTTTAAGCAACTAAACCGCGCCAGAGTGACTTCCCATATCTACAGAGCTGAACAACAACGCATTCGATCCCACTGGAGAAGACCAATGCTGGGCGCTCTTCTTAGCCGGTTCCATCAAGGCTATTCTGGAAGAATTCTAGAAAAAATGTACTTTTGATGATTTCAATGCACCTACAAGTATATTGGTGAAACGCTGTGAATTACTATATTCTCTTTCAGGCATTTACATCAATCGTGACAAATTGATTCATCAGATTGACAATAATTAAACACAATGTTTTAATGAAACAAAAAAAATTAACAGGTATTTTAATTAATACTTTTCTATGTCACTTTGTACGTCCGCAAGTGGACGAGCCGGGAAACTGTAATATAAACTTGTAAGACACTTGTGTGTTTAAACAAAACCTGCAAGCATGAAAACGTGCGCTGAAGGCGCCGTGCTAAGCGCGGGCGAGACCCGCTTTGATGGTCGCCGATCGCACCCCAGTGGCGCGACCAAAGCGCTTGATGCGAGTCGGGCTCCGGTCCAGGTAACAGCAGGCAAAGGCCGGGGCCGGGGCCGTTCCCTTGCATGCACTACACTGTCACTCCAGGCGGAGTGTACTGGGGCTGGGGCGTACCTGAAGTCGGCGGCGCCGCAGCTGCCGCCGGCGCCGCGCGGGCAGTCGTCCTCGTCGCTCCAGTCGCCGCAGTCGTCGTCGCCGTCGCAGCGGAACTCGTGGCGCACGCAGCGCGGGGACGCGCACTGAAACTCGCCCTCGCCGCACGCCGGCGCCGCCACCTCCGCTGCAACGCGACCTTCATATTTACATCACAATTTCATGGAAGCTCATCCAATCGTTAACCATTCCAAACATAATCTTACCATACTCAATATTTATAATGGGTTAACCAAAACATTCGAGGAGACAATGAATGAAACACATTTAAAATAGGTAATAAACAAAACATCTTCAGAATTCTAAAGATTCGCTGGAGACAGAAGATTCGCACAACGTCGTGTATAGAATAAAATGTATAGACTGTCACCTTTGATATGTAGGTCACATCAAGTCAAAACGTTTTATGAGAATAAATTAGCATAAGAAGAACAATAGGGACCCCTTCTCAAAAAACGAATTTTCATAACACATCATAGGTTCGACTTACATCGCAACATCAACTTTCATCAGTATGAGATTTTTGATAAATAACCCATACATCATTCTCTTGTTGTTTCCGAGATTTTAAATATTTAACGTAACAAAACAATGAATACTATAGTAAAATGCAATAATTTCACCAATTTATAAGATAATATTTTAACCAGGATCCAACAAGGTAAGAATTTTAATAAATTATCTCATCCTTTCGCATCTTCCAATCCCGCTACCTTCCCCTCTTCAAACCCAAGTGCCGCTCTTATTACACCACGAGGCAAAATCCGTTTAGACAAGCTGCCACCGTTGACTGCGAACCCCAGCGTTGTATAAATCAACAATAATGAGAATTTCTGGTGTTTGTTCGACATATATGTCAATATCATTATCGGCAACTCTAAAATATCTTATTTTAAAATCAAATAAATAAAGTTCAAATAAATATAATTAAAATCATTTTATAAAAATACAAGAAACAAAATATTTATAATATTAATATAACTAATAAAACCAGTTGAACAAGTAAAACAAATTAAAACAAAAAATATTTTGTTTTAATTTGTTTATACGCAATAAAATAAATAAATAATTAATAATACTAATAAAACCAATTGAACAAATAAAACAAAATAAAATATTTTGTGTTAATTCATTTTATTTGTTCAATAGGTTTTATTAATTAATGTCTACAAACATTTTGGCGTGTTATTTAGGCAATTTTCAGAAAATGATTTTAATAATATATATATTTTAACTCATTTTATGAAGATCACAATGTTCCATCATGAGTAATCCAATATTTATCATAATACATTAAATATTACATTGGTGACATGTCTGGTAATGAGGCTATGATGTTGCTCCAAAACCTAACTAGCAGATGAAATAATCGGAAATAATTTGATAGAAAAAGGAATATAATTTGATTGTCAATAACAAGATGATCCTATAATTTTACTAAAAAATCGCAAGTTGGCTTCAATTGTGCCTTCCTTTTGGGCACACCGCCCTTGAGCGGGAGTCGTAAGGTTCGAATCCCGAAGGTGGCATGATTTCGACCCTATCTAGATAACGAGGTAGAATTCAGTCGCTGTCTGGAGGAGTATTCAAGCGGCTGGCTGCTCTGATAGGCAGCTTTCCGTGGTTTCTCCGATCAACACCAGGCGAATGCCGGAGCACAATCCTAACAAACGGGCCACGGACGACGTCTTGTCTTCCCTTTGCCACACCGCACACTCGCACAGCCGCTGCACCACGTAGGAAGACCGGGCGGTCACTTCACTGATTGACGTTCCCGAGCGTTTCAAATACTCAGGCACTTAGCTCCGAAAGTGTAGTGAATGTTTTCAGTGCAGGAGGCGGCGGTGATTTTCCCCGCTGCTTAGCGAGATCCGACGCCTTCGTGTCTAGCGGGGGTTTCCCCAACCAGAAATCGCCCACCAGCGGGCACCGCCCTAGTCGGGACGAGCTGTAGTCTCCAAAGCGGCCTTCCGGCATGTGAGGTAGTGCAGTATGAGTAAGTAAGGAGTGAGGACAGGACAAGAAGGAAGAAGAAAAGATCATGCGCCGAACGTCTGTTGGGAACTGCTCCGGGATTCGCCAATCAGAGCGGCCGGCCGCTGGAATTCTGTAATTCTTCTCGAGACAGCGACTGGATTCAGAGAAGCTATCTCGTTAGTGCGGACTCAACCGTCGGGACTCAACCCGAGGACCTCCCGGTGCGGAATTGCAAATGCGCTCCGCTGACGGAAAGTCCTCCGGATTGGGGAAACCCGTAGGTCGATGAATGCTCCTGGTAAATCGCAAGGCCGCGTTGCGTGTTTGGCGACGCAAAGCGAAAACTCACCGCATTCCTGCTCGTCCGACGCGTCGGAGCAGTCGGGCTCCAGGTCGCACTTCCAGGTGAGCGAGATGCAGCTGCCGTCCGAGCACTGGAACTCGTTGTCGGCGCACGACCTGCAACACGGCGCACAGCACTCGCCCTCGCACTCGCCCTCGCGCTCGCCCTCGCGCTCGCCCTCGCGCTCGCCCTCGCGCTCGCCCTCGCGCTCGCCCTCGCCCTCGCCCTCGCGTTCGCCCTCGCCTCGCAGGGAGGCAGGCAGGAGGCGCGGTTACGCACGTCTCGTCCATTACGGAATGTCCATTGTAGACTAATTTATTTATTTAAAAAAAAAGGAACAGAATCTTCAGCCTCTTAATTTAACAAGCAGTAATAGCTTGACTATTCTTTTTTAAGCTAATTTTCACGGATTTTACAACACACGAACAGTATTCATCTCACAATGTTTTTAAAAATGTAGACAATAGTTATTTGTCATCGTATTCATCTTCTTAGGGGTTTGGCTCACGCTGTGACAGAGAATCTCAGCGAATTTTTTGTCTCATCCTTTGACCAAGTTGTTTCGTAGTTGGAGTGTTTTAGAAAGTATAGAGAATATATGGATTTATAATGATTAAATATTGTATACGTTAATATGAAGAATTAATGTATCAATTTACACAAAATAGTTTCCTTTTTCTATTAAATATTATTATTCTTTCATCTTTTATTAAATATTGAGACTACACTGGTGAAATTGTAAAAAGGAAAACTAACTAAATTTTGAAAAAAGTAAGGTATTAAAATTATTTAATAGCATTACTCAGTTGTCATCATTTTCAACTATGAGGCATTGAGACAAACAGCAAAAATGAAAAAAAAAGGGTTAAACATTTAATTCAAAGATTGAGTTTTTAATTAAAAATTACCACATTAAAAATATAAATTAAAACTGCAACTTCGATGACGCCTACTAGCTACTTTTTGTTTTTGTTTTTAAGAAGTATTAATTTATTCTATTCCTTCCATTCATCTTGATTTCTTCACTTTGTTTACGTTCGACGCAGAAAAAAAACAGCTGCGAATGGGTCCAGAACCAAATATCATTGCAAGTGAGTCCAAAGGAGCCGGTTGCCAGGCAACGTGCACGCGCGGCGCGGCTCATCCGACGGCAGAAGATGAAGCGGGCGACGACGCCCACGCGGCCTTATCGGGGAGCCTTAAATGTGAATATCAGTCATGTAGAAATGGGGTGAAACGGTAATAAAATCGTATCAATAAATAATTCAAAAATAGCACATTTAATTTCAACCATGTTGTTCTTGCCACTGGACTCCAGAATATCAATTACAAATAAAAGTGGTAGGAAGGAAGAAAAATTGTACAAATGCATTTTCAGGACTTTTAATATCCGAAGATTAAGTGATGAAGCAATAATTTCAATATTATTATCATAAAAATGTTATTTTACTTTTGTGGTAAAATTGTAAATATAGTAAATTTAATAAATGAGAAGAATTAATTTTTTTTATAATCTTGGTACCCTGGGATTGAGATGGATCTATTGAATTCTGATCAGATTACCGTTATTTGTTATGATGTGCCCGCTCCATTTTAAAAAACCTGTTTATTGAAGCAAAGTTAAACCATCCGACATTATTATTATTCAAATTCAATCACATAAGCGGGTAGCACAGAGGAGACCGGAGGAGACTCACAAGCATCTCATCTGCGTCTGAGAAGTCAGCGATGGAAACGCTTCACTCGGGCGTTCTTGCGGTTCTTGCGCAATAAAACGGTACCCGGCAGAAAATGAGGGAATTAAAATTGATCGCTGAAGCATGTTGGTATGAAAGCTTACGTATGCTTACATTTGGATATATGGGAACATTGTAAACCAGAAATTGAAGAAATACATTCATTTTGAATGCGGAAATGAAAACGATCGATTATCTATTTAGAACTTGGTTAAATAGTCTTACTTCAAAATATTTTGGAATTTGTTGCGGTGATTGTCTTCATGAATACCCTATTTTAGCTCATGTTAGAATTGAATTCTGCTAAAGCGTGAAATTACGCAAAGCATATTCACGAAGTTTTATTTCGAGATGATATATTTAATTTCAATAACTACGTTGGACGTTTGATAAATAACATGTTAATTAATGGTAAAATGCCATAATGCTTCTAGTAAGAGCGTATTGTTTGAACATAATACTTAATTATTTCTTTTCTATTGAATATTAGTTGAACAACGTTTTCATTTATTAAAAACACCTTTTGCCCATGCTTCGGTTCTAAAGGCAAACGATCTAACGAGAATGCATCAATAGGTCGTAAAAGTTGCTCGGAAACAACAGTAGAGCTAATTATTATTAAATATTGTTCAGGGGTCCGAACATTCTCTCCAGTGTGGTTTTGGATTGTCCACGTTTCTTTGCCTCGCCTCGCCTCTTCCTGCAGCTTTGCAAACACGCGCTGCCCCTCGGAGCGGAGGAGTTGCTCTGGAAGCGAATGTCATCGGAATTCGTTTTTCATTTACCGATTGCAATGGCGTTTCGTTCCGGCGAACAGAGCCCTCTGGCATCAAGCTGCAAGTTCACAAGGCGATGCTATCGAGTGGGTAATGTTTCTGACAATCAAGGCCGAACAGCGGAACTACTGATGGCGCTTCAACCGCGACAATAGCTCAGGAACAGACTTCTAAGCGTTCTCAGTCCACCAACGAAAGTAAAGACTTTCCAAATTTTTGAAACACTCCCTTTTGAAGCAAAATACTTCAGCACCATTGTAGGCCACTTAAAAAATTCCAATTTGTAAATTAATATCACGAAAAATGTATATTGGACCTCATTAATGAATTTTTAATTCTCCAGATATATTTTTCTTACCGTTATTTTTCTAAAAGTTTCAAAACTCATTAAAAATCCAATATAAGATGCATTTCTCAGCATTATTTCTTGTACACTGACTTGTCGTAATAGTATTCAAGTGACTCACATTTTGCTTAACATGTCCTTTGGAATATCATTATGTATCAACTAAATACTTAGATAAAAAATTGCTTACAATATTATTTAAACGTTTAATAATAATAATAATAATAATAATGATAATAATAAGCTCCCGCGGAGGGTTGTGGGTCGCATGATGACGGATGACACGAAATAACTCATGGGTTAAGTGTGATCTGTGAACTCGAACTTGCTTCATACAATACTTCCCTTACAACGAATTAGCGAAAAGGATAGGAAAAGAAATGTAATGAACCTTAATGTGCCTTGTTCTAGCAATGTACCATATGTGCTCAGAAACCGAGCTAATATCACCTTGATGACGTCCGGCCATCCCACGGATGTTAGTCCCAGGGACCAAGAGTCAGCAGGAGCTCGAAGCCATCGTCAGCGATCAACGCGGGATGAACTGAAGGAAATGACGTGTGCTTTTATAATGTAAAAGCGAAAGTAGGGGCTCGAAAATAGAAGTTTTTAAGAAACTGAGATAGCGGAAGTCACATATGAGACATATCCCAAATTCAAAGAAGCTTGCCAGTCCATGACGATTCATACTCTGCAGTGGAAACGTCACAATAGAAGAACTTGCTGACATTTAGGGAAATGCGGAGTATGTTCTTCGATCGAACTACCCACCTGACGAACACGTAGAACTTGAAAACGATAGTCTTGTTGAAGGTTCATCTCTTTTCAAAGAAACATTCGTCAGTGGTGAAAATTCATCTGGCAATGAACCACACTATAAAGACATGATGCAACATTTCTTTCGACGCGAGATAGAAAGAGTTCAACTTCCATTCGACTTTCGTGCACTGTTGAGGAGAGTTTACGAAAACACTACAGCTAAGACGGAGATAGGTGCAGCAACCTCTGTTTAAAATGAGGTGGTTCAGAGCTCAGGTAGAGTTCTAGATATCACTGAAATCAATGAAACTGGATCTCTGGTATCTCAGATAATTTTGGGGCAGCCAAGAACACCGACGGCCGTGGGCCAAACAGTCAACAGCCCTGCATCTTATGGACGAAAATGATTACGTCACGGGTAACTGAGCCGACACTCGGGGTGAAATATCACTCTTAGCCGAGGCACATTCTAAATCGACGCACGCCACCAATGTGCAACAAACAAAAGGGAGAGAGCAAACGAGAGAGAGCGAGAGAGAGAGCGAGAGAGAGGGCGAGAGAGAGGGCGAGAGAGCACGAGAGAGCGAGCGAGAGAGTGAGCGAGAGAGCGAGCGATAGAGCGAGCGAGAGAGAGCGAGAGAGAGAGTGAGAGCGAGCGAGAGAGCAAACGAGAGAGCAAGCGAGAGAGAGAGAGCGAGAGAGAGGGCGAGAGAGAGCGAGCGAGAGAGCAATAGAGAGCGAGCGGAAAGAGCATAGAGAGAGGCGAGCGAGAAGGAGAGCGAGAGAGAGCGAAGAGGAGCGGAGCGAGAGCGAGAGGAGTTGAGAGCGAGCGAGAGCAGCAAGCGAGAGCGAGAGAGTCGAGACGAGCGAAGCGAGAGCAGAGCGAGAGGAGAGAGAGACAAGAGAAGCGAGAGCGAGAGCGAGAGAGCGAGAGCGAGAGAGCGAGAGCGAGAGCGAGAGAGCGATGGTGGGGGAGCCCCCCTCCCGAGGCCCATTACGGATCATAAGGAAAGGAAAGGCCTCAATGCCAGATGGGTGTTTCGCTGGCTCTTGAGGAAAAAACAAGTTCAATAAGAAACAAATAGTGTTGTTTACTCTGTCTTGAGTTAAAAACTTGAATTTATAATTTAAGAATGTTATTATTCATTTGAGACTAATAGAAAGAAGTAATAACATATTAATAAAACTATCGTTCGTTGACGTGAAAATTGGTTTAGCAACAAGAAGAGGCGTTATCAAAGAGGGTCCTAAGAAAACAAAGGTCAAGTAGATTCGTAATTCTTCATTTAATAAGCCATAAACGCTTGAGACTTTCATTTTAAAATGAAAGTATTCATTATACAATGTAAATTCATTTGTTTAATGTAAACGTTTGAAATGAAAAATAATTTATTGCTCTTAAATTCTTTAAATATTTAAGAATTGAAACCAGTAGCTCATACTATAAAGATACAGACATGACGCTCACGTAACGTAAAAGAACTAAGAAGGGAAGTAAATTCAAAATTATATAAAGAAAGAAGGAATGCAACCTGGATGAAAAACTGAATCTTTGAAAGTGGTAGCATTTTAGTGCGTGTTAAGTAGCAAAAGCGAGCAACGGTAAGAATATTATAACAGA